TGCTACCCCTCCCTTGCGCTCTTGCTCTTTGCCACCACCACGTAAGGTTGCTTTTTGCTCTGTGCTGCTCTGCGTTGGACCCAGCTGAGTATGGACTGAAACCTCCAGTAACTGTGAGCTAAATAAACCTTTCCTTCCTTCATTTTGAGTGTCGGGTATTTGTCCCAGCAACGAGAGAAGAGTAACTAAGACACCGTCCTTCCTTAGAATGTTTTATTCTTGCTATGTAGATATTCCTGCTTTAACTATGAAAACATAATCAAAATTTCAGAACGGGAACTGCAACCTGTATTTACTGTCCCCTCCCTTTTAAACAAGGATAAATGCTTTCATTTAAGATCATTTCACAAAAGAGCCCGTTTCCTTTCATGCATTCCATTTTGAAAGTGTTGGTTCTGAGCAACGACATACAAAGGTGAAGGAAGACACTATACAATTCAGGTGAACAAGGTCACTTGTAGTTTCCATTTTAAGTACATTCCAGACTAGTTGAAACAGATGGACAAACCACCTAGTACAATGTCTAGCCCATAAAAGCTCAATAAATTATCATCTTTTTGCTCTTGGACTCCATGGGGACTGTGATTATATTATCATTTCCATTACCCATGCTGGAAAATGTTAAATTTGCATGTTTAGAGACAGACTCAAACTTTAGAATAAGTCTTAAATTGCCTTACTAAATCCTATATAATCTGTGTCACACGCATGTTCCAGGTCTGGCAGTCATTTCATACCTTATTCTTTTTAAAATTTATTTATTTATTTATTTAGTGTGTGTGTGGCCAGCTCAGCCCACCAGGGGGCGGGGCTGGCTGGCATATGGTGCTGGGGGATTGAACCGCGGCCCCTGTGCTTTGCTAAGCTTGTTCTAAGTAGACGCTTTAGACCACTGAGCCATCTCACCAGCCCATATACCTTATTCTTGACTTGCAAAATTATGCCCTAAATCTCAAATACTCAGCCATTGTAACTTCACATTTTATTTCTAGCTGAGAAAGAAATCCATTTTTTTTTAGTTTAATGTTTTATTTATCCACTCTTTTTAGACACATGGCAGTGATAAAGTAGCTCAGAGAATATTAAAACAATGTGTGTTTGTGACAAACAGGATCAAACTCTTCACAATGCCTGGCACTGTCATTTACTGGAAAAACTTTTTAATTAATCTTAACATTTATTAAGTGATGCAGAATTCCATTCATTGGCACATATCCAACAGAAGTAGGCCTAGCCTCACAGTAGACTAGTACACAGATGTTTGTAGCATCCTGATTCATAGCCCATCGATAGAACAGTGTGTCAGCAGGTGAGTGAAAAGAAAATTGTGGCCTGCCAGACAGCTGAGCGTTGCCCCACTGCGCGGTGGCAAGCCTGGTTGGTGTACTGATGCACACAGGCTCACGGGTGAAGCTCAGGAACTGCTGAATGCAGAAGTTAGAGCAGTGTGTGTGCTGCACCAGTCCAGGCTGAGCACATGACAGGAGACCCTGGCTTCAGGGTCAGGCAGCGGCTCGGGTCCTAGTGAGGGAAGCTTGGGATGATGGGTATTGGCTGTGGCAGTGGAGGTTAGTTACCTGGATTTGTTTTTCAAAATTTATCAATCTCTGTATTCAAAGAGTATATTTGATTATATGACTAGATAAGCCAGAGTGTAGAATAAAATATTCACACTGAAATTAATCCAGAATTTGTGTACTGAAAAACTTGCTAGAAATAAAGTTTTCTATCCTGAACGTCTTCTGTACCTGTGTGAAAACATAAACCTGTCTACTAAGGACATAAGTCAGTTGGCAGAATTCTGGAGATACAGAGCTTAGAAAAAGAATTTGGTCCATTTTTTAAAAAATGTATTTGGGGGCTTTCTTTTTTTTATACAGTTCTATATAGGTTTTTTTTTTTTTACTGCTGATTAATAGGACAGTTTTGATAATCAATACAATACATTGTTATCTTCTTAGTGGTTATCCATAGTACAAGAAGCAGACAGGATATTCTGTCCAAACACTGTTAGTACACTTCTTTCTTCTCACTGAATTAAGTGGAAGTAGCTGTAAATTTATCCTATTTTGTATATATAAATACAAAATGATCTTTCCTTTGTATCCTTTTTTTTTTTGTCCTGTCAGAGGTGACTATTCTATTGGCATCTAAATACTATAGGTGTTAGAATTCAACTAAACAATCTAACACTGTCTAGCAGTCTATAATATTAGTGGGTTATCCTCAGAAGTTATTGACTTGAGCCTTTTACAGCTCATCGTATTAATATGGATTTACTTTATATACCTCATTTTTATACTTTTCTGCTGGATGGTTAAGACCAAGATATAGCAAGACGTATATAACAAGAAATGTAACTTTTGTATCTGTTAAGGTCAGCCAAGTACTCTCAGGATTTATCCTGTAGCCCTGTACCACCCTTTGTACATCTTTTCGTCAGTGTCTGACATGAGGATGAGTCACAGCCATTGCTTGACCAATTTGCTCTCTGTGAAAGCTTGAGAACATGTTTTTTCTCTCCATGTGACTCTCCCCAGGCTCACTTTACATCATCCAACACATTCCTCTGTAGCTCCATAATCTTCTTGATCAGAAAATTTGGAGCACAACTGAGTTACATGTTGTTACAGTACAGGTTCTCCTATGTCCTGAGTCTTCACTGACCTTGAAAGGCTAGGGCCAAAATGTTGGCTGACCTTGCAGACCTTCCTTTTCTCCAATTTTGAACTGCTAACTTAGGTTGTTAACCCTCCAGAAGAGAAGCTAATTATTAACCTGCAATATATGCAGTTTGATTTACCCTATCTGTCGAAATATCAAACATTTTGGCATATCCTGGAACAGGTATTTTCTATCAGATATTGGTATGTTGAACTTTAAGTCCTTACAGAATACGAAGGAAAAATAATTATATAAAAGTAGAAATAAGCATTTACATATTTTTACAAAGAAATTTAGAAACCTAACCATATACGGAATTATAAGTCCTTATACTAGGGAGACAATACGATATTTACAAATGTGGGTCTGGTTTATTTCACTAATAAGTATATCTCTAAGTGGTATCCACTTAAATATGAAGGCTTCAAGTTTATCATTCTTTATAGCTGAGTAGTTTTCCATTATATAAAAGTACCACATCTTTTTCAACCATTCCACATGTGACGGGCATCTTGGTTGTTTCCAAGATCTGGCTATCACAAATTGTGCTGCTATAAACATAGGTACGCATGTATCACTATGATATGACGCTTTCAGTTTCTCCGGGAAAATTCCCAGTAGGGGGATAGCAGGCTTGAATGGGATTTCCAGTCCTAGTTTTCTAAGGAGTCTCCACACTGATTTCCATAATGGTTGCACCAGTCTACTCTCCCACCAACAGTGGAGAAGGGTTCCCCTTTCCCCACAGCCTCTCCAACATTTGTTGTTGATTTCTTTATGATAGCCAATCTTTCTGGGAAGAAATCCATTTTAAATATCAATTCCATATGCCCTGTAATTTTTTTCAGTCATGCTTAATATTTTGTTATAACATATATATTTACACTGAATAAACAAGCACAATACGAAGCAACTTGAAGGAAATAAGACAACATAGGCAAATGAAAGTCATCACTAGTCTTTATAGACATAAAAGAAAATATTGTATTCAAGAAACAAAAAGATGTACATGAGAGGCCTAGGTTCATATGGCCAGGTAAGCAGCAGCAGTCTGGGTTATTTGGACCCAAAGTCTTATACCACAGTCCATATGGTTTACTGAGCTCTTTGCTGTACAACTCATCAATGAGCCCTTTTGACTCATCTTCAAAATGAGTTACATCTTTCCACAGTAACTCGCTGGCCTGGCTATTATCTCTGGCATTAGTTACTACAGATGGCCCTTCCTTTTCTCTCTGCTGTCACTGGACCCTGTACAGCTCATCTTCACACAGCAGCTTGAAACCTCATTACCCTACTGTCACAACTGCTTTCCAACACAGCACCGTAACTTAGCTGGCTTCTGCCCACCTCTGCAACCTCATCTTTTCCACAATCTCAATGTTCACAAAATCTATCACGGGGTCATTTAAAAGGGCAACAAGGGCTGGGGAGAGAGCTCAACTAAGCACCTGCCTGGCAAGTGCAAGGACTTGAGTTCGATCCCTGGTACAACACGCTGTGTACCAGCCCCATGCACTAAGCTGGCCACCACCAAAACCAGGCATGGTGGGGCACATCTATAATCCCAGTTATAATCCCATTGGGCAGGTTGATACAGAAGGTTCACTGGAGTCTGGGCTGCGTAGCAAGACCCTGTACCAAATGAAAGATTAAAAACATAAATAAAAGGGGAACAAGATGAATTCACATTCTGATAGCCCAGAGCTTTTACAATGACTGTTTCCTATATCTCAGCAGCATTCTTTGCTATTTTCCTACAGCCCACTCCTTCTCATCTTTTAGTCCTCTCTATCTTGACTAATCTACATAGGACTTATTTCAGTAAAGTGGGGATGTGTATCTGTATATATGAGAAAGCAACTTGTTTTACATCTCTTCATATAGCTACTCATTTCTGATTTCTATTATTTTTCATAGCTTTACATAACAGCTAGTACACTGGTATACTTTGTGCCAAATGGTGTTATGATGTTTAGAGGCGACAACAAAGCATGGTAGTCCCCCCCGCATAATTTTATTGAGAAACATAGCAATGAGACAGTTTGAAATTAAATTAGGACAGTTTCAATAATTAACACATTGCATACTGTCTTCCTAGTGGTTATTTGTTGTACAAGATGCAGACATGATATCCTATTTACAAACACTATTAGAACAAATCCCTCTATTCATTGAATTAAGAGAATATAGCTGTATATCTATCCTAACCAATTTGAATACACAGATACAAAATGGTCATTCATCTGTATCCCTCTTGTTTAGTTCCGTCATTTAAATATTATAGGTTTGTGAACTCAGCAAAATATTCCACAATAGTCCAGTAGTCCATAATAATATTGGGTCTTCCGCTTGACTGGCAATGTCAGAAGTTGTTGACCTGAGTCCCCTACAGCTCAACATAACAACATGGCTTCACTTTTTATACTTGGTACTTTCTAAGGAACATATTTAATTAGATCTTTGGAGTGCTTCAGGAATATAATTTTTAATAAATTTTATTAAAAGTATAGTTTGGGAAAACAATTTTAACCTTTATTGTTGTTACATTACATACATGATAAAATTAAATTACAAGGCATATAATTGAACAATAAAATTCTTTATACAAAGTATATTTAGATACCTAAATACAATCTGGTCTTGAAAATGAAATCATGTATATAGCTGTATTCCTAAGTGTGTTGAATCCAATGCTATATGAGACTCCTGAAGGTGCAAATCCAGGTAACAACAAAGACACTTTTCTGAATTCCCATGTTTTACCGAGCATCAAAAACCACCACTGTTAAACTGAGTTAAGGACCCCCAAAAAATACACAAAAATGATAGAAAATTTAAAGTTCCCAAGTCACTTTACCTTTGCAGTAAGCTAATTTGCCTGCCTATATATCCGTATATGTCTTTGTGAGACATGGCTTCACTGTGCTGTTCAGGGTGGCCTTGAACTCACTTTATATCCTAGGCTGGCCTTTACTACTTCTTCCTCTTTTTTGGGGGGGGGGGCAAAACTAGGGATGGAACTCAGGCCCTTGTGCTTGCCAGGGAAGTGCTTATTCCTCTGAGCCATCTCCCCAGCCCCAGATGCACTTTTTTTTTTTTTTTTTTTTGGCGGAACCGGGGATTGAACTCAAGCCCTTGCGCTTGCCAGGGAAGAGCTTATTCCACTGAGCCATCTCCCTGGCCCTAGGCTAGCCTTGAGCTTGGCACTGATACTCCTGCATCAGCCTCTGAAGTGCTGGGATATAGGCATGTGCCACCATGCCTGGCCTTCTATTTTATGTAATGTGTTCAAAAAAAATAGAACCATTTAATATGATAATAATCTTTAAAAAATTTTTCATTTAATAGGTGAACAAGCTTTTCCAAATACAAAATGCATCAAAAAACAAAGCAATATTAAAGGTTATAACTTGATTTTTTTTTTTTTTTTTTTAATGTATTTGGTAGTGTCTATAAGGTCTCACTACCCAGACTGGACTCATAGTGATCCTCCTGTTCTCAGCCTCCCAAGCACTGGGATTACAGGGTACAACACCATACCCAATCCCAATCACTGTCTCAACTGCGCCCCGGGGATATGGCACATGGCACATGGCACAGTACACTAGGGAGCAAACCTGGTACCTTAGCCTTCCTAAGCAGACACTTTAGTCTGCTGAGCTATCTGGCCAGCCCTTAACTTGCTGATTTTAAAGAATTTGTTACCACATAAAAATTTATTTCCTGTATTTGGGCTAATTTGTAGGACCTTCTTTTTTCATTAGGCAGTGTATAACAAATTTGTATTTTTCCTTGTATTATTGTTTTGTTTTGTTTTGTTTTTGTAGAACTGGGAATTGAACTCAGGCCCTTGCACTTGCCAGGGAAGCACTTGTTCCACTGAGCCATCTCCCCAGCCCCTCCTTGTATTATTTAGTTTGTCCACAAACTCAAACTCAAGGAGTACTTCTATGAAGTACAGCATTCTTAAAAAGTACTTAAGAGAACCAAAATAATTAGTGTTTATTTACAGCCTAGAAACTGGTCTACAAAAATGGTGATCCTGTTTGTCTCTAAAGTAATCCAAAAGTTATTACTGTTCTTACCAAAACTTAGTCTGTATCAAGCCCAGTATTATTTTGCATTTCCTCTTCATATTTAGAAAGCATAGTTAAAAGGATACATCTTTTAGTTCTTTTCTTGTACATTATTCTGTATCCACATTCTCTACATCTGATTGGATCCCTGGATTTAATTTCATTTTCTGTGTGACATTCTAGAAAAAGAAAATACATTTATTCAATGGCTAAAAGAAAAACATTAGAGACAAATCATTTTAACCATATCTGTTACCCAAAGCAACCCAAAGCATTAATATACTCAACCTTAAAAAAAGAAAAACTTAGTGTTATTCACAGTACATAATGATCACAGTCATGATGGGGAGTTATGTATGTGTATGTAACACATACTAAATATTCTTAATATGCTTATACTGCTAAATATACTAAGTAGAAAAGAGAAGAATTGTGGGCAATAAATATATCCAGGTGAAAAGTGACATCTTAACAAAAATTCTTTTTTGTTTGCTAAAAATCCTAAGTGCTCTTACTTTAAGCGCTAACCTTACCTCCACAGATATATATCATTGGCTGCTGCTTTGGGGGTTGAACGTCCTGTTGAGTGTCCATTGTTAGTGCCTGAAATCACAGATTCAAACACTGAATACTATCTCAAAGGAGCTCCTCCCACAACCAACCAAGTCCCACTTTTCTACGGAGAAGCTAAAAAGATCCCAATTTCTTACCTGTTCTCCCCTCCCCCATGCTTTAGGGACGGTCTAAAAGGACGAAAGACAAAGTACTAAACGCTTAATCTACCGTGGACAAAATAATAAATACCTTATACATGTTATTTCATTATGCGCTTCACAATAGGGCCAGGAAATAAAACTTTACAGGTGAAGAAACTGAGGCATAGGGAAGCCCCTGTGTACAGTATCGCTACTACAAGGCTTCAGATCTGACCGGAAAAGCTAGTGTTATCATTTAACAGAAGTTCCGATCTTAAAACTTCACCACGAGATAGTAAAAAATACAAAAATAAAGAATCATATTCCCTGCGCCAAAGAACTACAGCCCTCAGCCGGGGTACAGACTACTCGAAGGAGAAAAGGCAATAACTCCGCGACTAAACTAAAAATCAAAAGAGTGAGAGCATCGCCTCTACCCCACCTTGTCCCAACACTGATCCTACTGGGCTATTTTTAACCTCAAGCATCTACTTTTGGCCCAAACACACAGTCTCTCACCCACACACTGCGCGCGCTACTTTCCAATCGCAAGCCATTAATACCTGATCTGGGCAACACCGAAGAGGTTCCCACTCTGGCGTTTCTAAACAGAACCTCGTTAAGAGGCTGTCTCGACCAACTTCCGTCGCCGACAGATGACGCAAGAAGCGCCCGCCTCTTCCGCCTCCGGAGCTAGGAAACTCAGATTGCTCGGAGGCGGCGAATCTGCGCGGTTCTGTTGTAGGCGCTCACTCCAGTGGTGGCGAATGTGTGGTGCACGCGCTGAAAACTCTAGAAGGTTCGCCGTCGCTGAAAGTGCCTATTTCGCCCCTAATTACTTGTTTCCCCCCAGGAAAACAAGACATTGTCATACTTCCGCAAGTTGCAGGAGGTTTCCATTTCTGTCGAAAGAAGTTGATAGGAAGTAATGTTTTCTGGATGAATTCACGTGTAAAAACACTTCATTATGTTTTCAACTTTAATGTACGTGCCGGGCCCCCCACGGCAGCTGCGTCCTATTTCGTGGTTTTGTTTTTGCTTTCCAGCCCTTCTCACCTAGGCTCCTGTCATTCCTTTCTCCCACTTAGTGTTTCTGTAAAGTGTAGACCGGGCGTGAGGACAGCTACATCATCTACTCCGCTCAAACCTAAGGGATTTTGGCAACTTGAACCTTCTGAGGTCCTCTATCCCATATATGTATTCATTCATGGGAGAACAAAATGACCTGAATGGAGGTGTGTTCTTTCAGTGATCAAAATTTGAGACAACTACATCTATTGGGTACATTTATTAAATTCACAGCAGATATTTTAGTTACATTAGAAGTAGGGCAAACAAAACAAAGTTTCTCAATTACAATTAACGGAGGAGGCAGCTGCCTCGCCTGCCTGTACCTGCGTGGGCTGCAGCAAGGTGGATGCCTCAGGGGTGGTCCAAGCCGGTTGCTTCCCTAATGGGCTGAGTGTGAGCAACCAAAACAGTGGCTGTTCCAACAACCAAATGGACAGGCATTCCAATTCCCCAGGAACTCTCAGTAACTGTCTCAAGAGAGAGGCCTGTTCCTTGAAGTCTTGCCAACTTTAGGAAATTGGGATCCAATCCAACTTCCTCCTGCCGAGCACCTGAGAACCATTTCTGCAAAACTCAAGCAAGAGAAATAAGGGGAGAGAAGCCCCTTCTTGAATCTCAAGTTCAGGAACTTCCAGCAGACACCAAAGCCAAAGAGAGTGAAATCAAGAGGTTTCAAAGAAACTAAAGAAACACAGGGAGAGAAGGGCACTGAGAACTGAGGGGGCAGATGCTTCAGACCCAAGTTCAGAAGGAAGATCAACTCCACCGGAGACACAAACCTTTGATAAGAACCCTTAAGGAGAACAGAATTTTCCGAAAGAGATTGCTGATCTAGAAGAAGAACACTGAGTCTTGAAAGGAAAACTGACTTACTTTAAGCAGTTACCAGAAGGGGCAGTGATTCACACTGGTGACAGCAGATGCTCAGCATCTATAACTCAAGCTTTGGAAGCCCAACTGAAACAAACTGTCAAGTGAAACTGATAAATTTAAAATTAAACAAATATAGAAAAACATTACTGACATCTGATGTTACCAAAGCTTCTTTGTCACCAGACACCTCAGATTTTGAGCACATCACCACTGTTACCCCTTATTGGGCTCTGTCTTCCACTACCAACTCTTTTAAGAATTCTTAAGTGTTCAACCACTGGGAGTTCTACAAACAGTGCAAGTGAACTGTCCTTACTTTCCCTTACAGAGAACATACAGGTGATGGAAGAGAATCACCATAACACTATAGAGGAGCTACAGGCCACTTTACAAGAGTTATCAGGTCAGCAGGAACTGATAGCTGAGAATGAAAAGTGGGTAGATGAGAAGACTATTTTAGAATCACACTTGCATCAGCATTGAGAGACAGCAAAGTGGCTAAGTCATGAAAATGAGAAATTGATAAATCTTCTATAAGAGCAAGTGAAGAATGATGATCCTAGTGCCCAAGAAGGGAAAATCCTCAAGCTGGAGCAGAAAAGCAGATATTTTTGAGAAAAGCCTCTTTCTTTTTTCTTTTCTGTTTTTTTTAAACTAGGAGTTGAACTTATAGCCTCATACCTGCCAAGAAGTGCCTTGCCACTGTGCTATATTCCCAGGCAGAAAAGGACTACTTTAAGTTTACCATTCAGCAGCAGTTTACCTGTAACTTAGGGAATGTTGAGGAAGAAAAACAAGGAGCTTTGGACATGATCACGCACCTGAAATAAAATGAAAACTGAATGGGTTTCTAGAACTACAACGATGTAACAATAATGTGATGACCAAAACTTTGGAAGAATATGGTTACCTTGGAAAGCTTGAAGATGGAGAATGGGTCCTTGAAGCCTCATCTGGAAGGTGAGAAGAAAAAGAGCTATATGGAGAGCAGTAGTACCTTGAAGCAGACAGCAGAGAACTGTGAACTTTGGGAAACGTTGCAAGTAGGTTCAACTGAGAGATCACCTGGAACTGTCTTGCACTGAGCTCAAAAAAATTGCTAAAAGCAAAAGGTGACAGTAAACACATTTCTGTGCTAGCTGATACAAAAATATTATTCTTACTTGAAGAAGAACTGTGATCATCAAGCAGAACAGCTAAGCAGACCCAGCCTAAAACTGCAAGAGAAAACAGTGATGCAAAGATGAAAGACACAAAAGAAACCCTGTTTGAATTGGAAGATCACGTAGAAGAGCCGTGGGCTGTCAAGTTACATAATCAGCTCTTTAGTGAGCTAGGGAACAATGTGGTCAAGCTGGAAGAACAGAAATCAGAGGTGGAATGGCAGTTAAAGACCCTGTGATAAAGCAGGTAAAAGAAGAGGATGAGGAATGGAGGTTGTTATAGGCAAACCTGAAGACTGCCCCAGTGGTGGTCAGTGACATCAAACGTGAGGCCCAGCAGGAGTTATGCACTGTGAAGAAGAGTGTATTGAAGGAGGAGGGGACAAATGCCAGGTTATAGCATGAGCTGAGGGACATGTGGGGCTACAGCAGTTCTCTGGTCCCTGTCAGCTAGCAGACCTTTTGGTGGAAGAAACACAGTCCAGCCCTTGCCATGATTTGAAACTACAGATGTTTATGAAAGAGGGAATCTGCAGAGGAGAAATTATCATTTTACCTAAAAGAGCCCCACTTGTCTCCTATACCATTCATTGTTCCAAAAAGTGGCACATTGCAATCAAATCTGTACATTTTTTCTACGTGTTAAGACCAAACGTGAGTTTTATATTTTTTTTTCTCTGTAAGAAGACTCAGTAATCTCTGGTTTTGGAGAATAAAGTTCTGGAAAGATACAAGTCTTGTGAAAAAAATGTTCCATATGTTCTTTAAGATTAGTGGTTTAGCAAATTCTCGGTGGCTAATGCAACCTATGCATAGGTTTGCTTTTTGGTATTTTCATGCTGCTTATTTAAAAATAGGATCCGATAATCTTGGAATTGTCACTATTTTAAGACACAATAAGTCACCTGCATGATGCCTTTCCTTAAGAACTTAGAAAGTTCTCTTTTATACCAAGTCTTGCATCTCAGCCTGTGCAAGCTAAGGTCTCATTGTATTATTTCATTTGAAACAAACTGCTACTAAGCTTTAGCTTGATTTCCACAGTCTTTGTTTAGCTAAACAAATAGATATTTGGTTGATAATAAAAAATGTTAGCCAGATAAGTATGCTCAGTGACAATGTTAACTGAAAACTAATAAAGGACAATTTATAACAAAAGCCTCATGAATGAAACTTACCCTGGAAACTTAAAGACTTAATGCAGAAGGACATATCTCAGAATAATCCAGGATTCAAAGTATGACTTTAAATTTTTGGGTAGTACATTCATACGTAAAGATTTGTATATTCAATTTAGCAGACTCTACCAGTGTGTGTGTGGGGAACTACTACACTGCTCACGTGAGGAGCATTTCATAGTATATATAGCACAGGGACATTAGCTATATAATAAAAAAGAAAATTGAAATTATGAATGCTCTTTAAATTCAGGAATACATCAAATTGGAGCACACAGATGCACCAGAAAAATTTAGCTTGGCACGAGAAAGAAGAAAGAAGAGACATTATGTCCTCTTTATAAAGATAACTAGAATTAACTTTATAATAACTGGAATTATCTTCATGTTCAGAGAGATTGTTACCTCAGGCTGAATATTCTTATAAATGACTTAAAGTGCACTCACTGAGTGTTTTCTAATCTAGAAAATAAGAAAAATGAAATCTCAATTTAAAATGCACAGCTGTGCTAATCTTCATAATTTGATCTGCTTTTACTCTGAGTATTGATTTTTTTTCCATTTATGCATTTGGTACAGGGTCTCATTATGCAGCTCAGACTCGTAGTAATCCTGTTTTCATCCTCCTCAGCTCTGGGATTACAGGCATGCACCACCCCGCCCTGGAGGTGGGGGCGGATCGGCATGTGGGACCAGGGTTTGGTCCCTGTGCTTGCTAAAGCAGATGTTTAGTCCACTGAGCTATCTCACCAACCCAGAATATTTTTTATATGTATGCATTTATGGAGTGCTAAATAAGTGTTACTTTTTTTAAGGTTAATGGGAGAATCAGGCTTTTTCCTAACATGCACTACATTTTGCTTGATTTTTCTATTCTTCCTCTAAGTCAAAAAAATTTATTTCTGGGGGGTCAGCTCAGTTAGAGAGTGTTTGCCTAGAATGTTTGTTATGGTTTGTGTGTATTTGTCTCCCTCCCCCCAAAAAAACCTCATGAAGTCACTGAGGCACAGTTCTACAGTTTGTGATTAATTCATGATCCAAGGCTGGGATTATGGGTCTGAGTACTGCTGGGATTAAGGGTGTGAGTGCTACACCCAGCCTGGCCCAGATAGCCTAAATGTAACATAAGAGAGAATGAAAGACAGACTTGCTCTCTGTAGCCACTGTTGCTGCTACTCCTCTCTTTTGTGATTGCTGTTTTCCATCTCCATGAACTGCTGCTCTCTGCCTTGGAGCCAGCTAAGTATGGACTGAAACCTCCAGGAATTGGGAGCTAAATAAACTTTTCCTTCCTTCATTTTGGGTGTCGGGTATTTGTCCCAGCAATGAGAGAACAGTAACTGAGACAATGTTCAAAGTCCTAGGTTTGATGCTCAGCACAATAAAATAAATTTTTAAAAATAGAATTTACCAGGAGAAATAGCAGTGTCCTGCTGATTCCTCCACACATGATACCAGCAGTTTCCTGCTGATATCCTCCACACAGGATAAATATTTTGATCACCACTCTAGTTATAAAGCATTTCTTGCATCAACCAAGAGAAGTAATCCAATTCAAGAAGCACTCTAGGCTTCTCTATAAAACCTACTAGATTAAAACCATTGTTAGCATAAGCAAAAGGGGAGGAATGATCCTGAAAGCAAAACTTGCATATTTGAAAACTATTTTTGATTCTTACTGTCCTCTGCAAATATCAGGATGATTCTGGGAAAGCACAATCAATGGAGATAACAGTGGATCATAGATTTAGAATAATGGCTCTACAGAGTGGGGGTGTAATGCCAAGTTACAGCATGGAGAGCTAGAATTTCCACAAATGAAGTGCTGACCTCCAAATCCAATATCCTTTTTCCCTATCAGTGAGAACCAGTAGTTTTAGTATTACTATGGAGCATGATCCATGTAAGCTACCTTATTACAGTACAATATTTCTTGTGTGTTTACTGTGTGCTTGACATCATCTGCATTGCTGTCACCTAATGAGGGCAGTTGTCTTGCCATCCTGGACTCTAGGACTTTTAAGTTATTACAGTATGATTACAGAGCTGCAAGGTAACACTTCCCCTAATCTATGTTTCCTTTTTCCTTGATCATAATTTGCTATATGATTCATGACAGATAACTGAAGACAAAGTTCAGTAAAACAAAGAAGAGGATGTTTTACTTTGTACAATCAGCAAGCTGATGTGCAATACCTAGTGGCAAGCTGCCGGGACAGGACAATCCTATTTTCTCAGTACTGTCCTTAGAGACCAGAAGAGAAAATTTGTGTACTTCAAAGTCTTTAGACAACTGCAGTATGTGACTGATCAGGATCTCATGATTTACAGCACTTCTTGTACATTGCCCTTTGCCCATGATTTGTACCTTCTAAGATTCTCAATAAATCTGTTGTGCTTGCTCTGTTCAGGGCTCAGTCAGACAAGACTTCTGAGTCCCCTGTAGCTGATTTCATCCAGCTTTGTGGTCATCCTTCTTGTGGCTTCAATCAACATTCAATAGTAATTAGAGCATATCTGCCAATCTTGATTGTCATAGTCACTGGAAAAATCTTCCTTTATGTTTTATTAGAGGGCCTTAAAAAAACATTACATCTGTGGGAAGCAGGTGAGTTTTTAAATTCTGAGCCAATGTGACACATGCCTGCAATTCTAGCATTTGGGAGACCTAGGCAGGAGGATCACCATGTGTTCAATACAAGCCTGAACTACATAGTGAGACTCTTTCTCAACAAACAATTTTGAGTCAATGTTGGGGTGATGTCTGATCCAAGAAAGGGAAACAGAAAAGCAAAAGACTATAGTAGGCAAATTATAAAAAAAAATAACTCAATGGTTTGTATCTAGTGTATATAAAGCTCAATGCATTGCTATGCATCTTTTTGCCCTTTATTGGGCAGGGAGGGATAAAAATTATTTTTCCTTTAAAAATTTAAGGAGTAAGAATATGTTCTTTTATTATCCACTTACAAGAAAAAATTTTATCTCACAAATGAAAAAGAATAGGGCAAGGTTCAAATGTGTATTGGGTTATGCAAATTTTATTTAAACATAAGCAAAATTCTTGGACAGTTTACATCAGAGTAGATAATATCAAAAACAAGTAGACAATATCATATGTTAGAAGGTCATGACATGCAAAGAAAAATCAGCAGAGAAGGATGTTTGCTAATGCTGAGCAGGGAAGTGTGGAATTGCTATTACAGATCTTTTTGAAGAGCTAGGGAAGGTACTGCTCACCCTGCGTGGGAGTGTGGAGTGGCTTCAGACAGGTGCTGTGAAAAACTTGTACTTTGCCAGTTCCTTAGCTTAAGCCTACAGAGACCTCTCTCCGTTTAACAACCTCATACTAAGTACACATCTCATCTACCACCACCTACCTCTGCTGGTTCTCTTGGGTGCCTCAACCTGATCCTCATGCAGTTGATTCTGCCAACTGAGTTTGTTGGGTCTAAGATAGTCTCTACTGCCACTATCTTCCAGAGTAATGCAGAGGTCTCCCTATAGCCACTTCATTTCTCTTCATTCTGTTCTCTGTTCTGCCACCAAGTGGTCTTTCTTAAATGCTCTGCATTGCCTAACTAGCGGATAAACTTCAGACCTGCAACATGTACTCATGACTTTGTACCCGTGGCTTGGTTCCACCTCTTGTGAATTTTCTCTTGATCTTTCCTTTAGTACATATTATTTTTCAGTTATAACAAATTAGTCATCCTAATACATCTGATGCTCCATTTCTTACTCTTGGACAATTCTGAGTTTGGAATTTTCTGCCTTTTAAAATGCTACATGCCCAACAAATGTTCATCTCATACCAGATGTGGTGGCACACACCTGTTCTCCCAACTACTGGGGAGCCTCATGTAAGAGGACTGTAAGTTCAAGGCCAGCCTGGGCAGTTTAGCAAGCCCCTGTCTCAAAACAAACAAAAATATTAAAAGGCTGGGGTGTTTACCTCAGAGGCAGAGCACTTAATCAAGCCCTTGGGTTCAACCTCCACTACCACTATCAATACACACACACACACGGAGTCCTAATAACCTCACAACATGGTTATTAGGAAGTTAATGCAGCACACTCTTCTCTAGTAGGGTTAGTTGGTTCCTCTTTGTGCCACTTCTGTTCTATTATGGCACTTGTATTAGGCCTATTAACACAGTGTAACTTAGGCATCTTCAGATTACCAATACCTAGTCCAATAATTGGCACAGTTCGAGCTTCATATTTGTTAGATTTTAGATGTATTACATTTAGAGTGGACACCCAGATAAAGAAATATCATCAGAATGGTGGTGATAGAATAACCAAGAAGTCATTGATACTTTTACACATTCTTATCCTGCGTTTAAACACTTAATTTTCCTGTTTCTACACTTAAGCGAGCGGCTACGCAAACGCTGCTGAAGACCAGGCCTGCGGGTAGCTGAGTGGGGCGGGAAGAAAGCAGAACCCGGCAGGAGGAAGTGGCGGGACAGGAAAAAAGAGGCAGGGCCGAGTGGCCGGAAGGGGCGGGGCAAGAAGAGGAGGAGGGCGGCGGCCGGAAGGGGCGGGCAGAGTGGAGCGCCTTCCTGGGGCGGGCAGTTCAAACCCGAGGACAGACGGGTGGTGGTCTCTCGCGAGCTGAGTGCGGGTGGTCGTAGCCTACGTCTTCCGGGGCGAGGCGAGCCTTGTCTCTGTGCGCCCGGCTGCCACCGCCCAGCCCTCAGCC